GAATATTGAATATTGAATATTATTGTGAATTGTTCCCATGGGTGTGGGTGTGAAAAATCTCTTGGTCTCTGATTTTTTGGGAACTGAAGGCAAGGAAAGAAAAAGGAAAAGAGGAAAAGATCCCAATTTTTTTTTTTTTTTTTTTTTTTTAAATCAAAATTATGAATTTTATTCTGTTTATTATTAAAATCGCTGCCCTGGGTGTTGATAGAAAAGCTGAGCTGCTCGCTGATTTTTGGGGCTATTTCTGCCTGGTTTTGTAGAGGTTTAAATTTAAAAATTTAAATTTAAATTTTTAAAAAAAAAAAAACAAGAATAAACCGAGTTTAAAGCAGGGAAGGAATAAAAACCAGGCTTAGGCTGAGCTCAACTCTACAAAGAGACCAAAATTGGGAGAAAAATTAAAATAAAATTTAGAATTTGTGTCTGAGGATTTTCCTGCTGCTTTTTGGGGCCAATCCTGCTTATTTGTGGCACGTGGATTTTAATTTTTTTTTTTTTCTTCTCTAAATTTAAATATTTTAATATTATTTTACTCCTCAAGACTTGATCAAAGTTAAAATGAAAAATTTTCTCTTTCAGCTTTATGTGATGCTCAAAATTCCTTTAAAAAGGAAAGACTTAAGGGAAATAAATTAAAAAAAAAAAACAAAAATAACAATTAAAAAAAAACATTTTCCATGCCCTAACAACCCCTTCATTTATTTATGTGGTGGTCCTTGAATATTTTATTCAATATTAGATATTTTATTATTATTTATTATTATTTATTATTAATTATTATTTTATAAGAATTTTTCAAGGCAGGTCCCCAACCCTTTTAATTGCCCAAAATCCTTCAAAATTTCACTTTCTCCATCAGCACAGGCCAATTCCACAAATTCATTTTGGTTTTTCTACACAATGAGCCACAAAATTCTCTTTCATTTTATAGAAATAAATAAAATATTGATAAATGTGTTGGATATTAATTAAATTCAATGCCCCATCCACATTTTTCTTCAGTGGGAAAGAAGCACAGAAGAAAAATTCTGAATAAAAATCAGCATTTTCAGCTTTTTTTTTTTCCCCCCTTTTTTGTTTCCTGCAATGTTTTGGTTTTTTTTTTTTTATTATTCCCCAGAAAAATGAGTTTCTCATTATTTTCCTCTGACATTTTTTGGTTAAGAATCGATGATTATTATTTAATTTATTTTATTTTTTTTTAAGAAGTTTTTGTGAATTCTTCATTCCTGATGCAATGAGATGGAGCCTCAACCTTCCTCCCTTATTTATTTTAATTTTTTTTTTTTTTAAAGAGGTTCCTGGCAGGATTACACTGGATTAATTAATTTATTTTAATCCCATTTTTTTTTGTCTTTAGGGAAGGGAGAAACCTCTTGGTGATTTTTTTTTTTGAATCCAGGAATTTTTTCCAGGCAATTTTTGGGTTTTAAATTTGGGATAATCCCAAGTTCCTAAACCACCATTCCTGGAAATCAAGGAGGAGAAATCCACCTAAAAATAATTAAAAAAATAAAATTATTTTTTTCAACCAGGTTCCTGCAGCTTGGAGGTGAAATAATAAATATCAATTTCTCAATAAAAATACAAAAAAAAAGAGATTTTTTTTTTTTTCCCCAACCCTCAGCAAGATCTGCCACACCTGACAGAATAAATCTGATTTTACCCAGTTTAATTTTAGAAAACACTGATGGTTTTAACTTTTTTTTTTTTTTTTAAAACTTTTTTCAGTTTAAGATCAATTAAAAAAAAAAATAAAAATTAAATTTCTTTTCTCTGTGCAGAAAGATTTCAGAGTTCAGGAGCTGCCCTTGGCTCGGATTAAGAAAATCATGAAACTGGATGAAGATGTGAAGGTAAAAAAAATCCGAATTTTTCACCTGGAATTTGGATTTAAGATCCTTCTCCTGGATATTTTACCTGTTGCTCCTTGAAATCCCTTCTATAATTCTCATTTTTTGTTGTTTTTTTTTTTTTTTAAAGTGATATTTGGCAAAATTCCCTCGGGTTTGGGTGATTAAACTGAGCTGGGAAAAAGCAGAAACGTTTGGGATTTTAATTTTGATTTTGTAATTTTATTTTATTTTTTTTTTTTTGGTGATAAATCCCACTTTAATGGTATCAAGAAATCCCAAAATTATCTTTGTTATTTCCTCTCTTCTCTCCAATTCCCTCTTTGTTTTTTTCCATTCTCAAATAGATTTAAAGTGATTTTTGTGCCACCTAAT